AAAAATCAAAAATTTTTATAATTGAAAAAATTAAAAACCGAAAAATTTAAATCCGAAAAGTCGAAAAATCAGGCAATCGAAAAACAAAAAAAATTACAAAAATCTAAAATTCGAAAAATTGAAAGATCCAAAAATCAAAAAGCTGAAATACTTATCGAGAAATCGAAAATTTCAAAAAACCAAAAAGTGAAATACATATTAAAAAGATGAAAATCATGAAAGCGAAACGAAAAATCGAAACCTCGAAAAACTGAAAAATCGAAAAATCTCAAAACTAAAACATCGAAAAATTGAGAAAGTCGAAAAATCGAAAAATTCGAAAGTGAAGCCGCTCAATCGAAAAATCGAAAAACTGGAAAATCGAAACATCAAAGTCGGGATAAATCGAGAAATAAAAACATAAAAAAATCGAAGAATCGATAATTTAAAAAATTAACAAATTCTGAAAAATCGAAACACTGGAAAATCAAAAACACGAAAAACTAAAAAATCGAAACACAGTGAAAAATACCAAAACTGAAGCATCGAAAACATGAGAAATCAAAAAATCAAAAAAATCGAGAAATAGGAAATTTACAAAAATTGAAGACTCGAAAAACTGAATAATCGAGAAATCCCAAAACTAAAACATCGAAAAATTGGGAAAGTCGAAAAATCGAAAAACTGGAAAATCAAAACATCCAAGTCTGGATAAATCGAGAAATCAAAACATAAAAAAATTGAAGAATCTATAATTTGAAAAATTAACAAATTTTGAAAAATCGAAACAATAGAAAATAAAAAAAAACGAAAAACATATTGAAAAATGCCAAAACATCGAAAACATGAGAAATCAAAAAATCGAGAAATAGGAAATTTAGAAATGCCAAAATCTGAAATATTGTAAAAATCGTAAAAGTGACGAATCAATTAATTGAAGAATCTAAAAACTGAGAAATCGTGGAGCTGAAATATCGGAAAATTGAGAAACCGAGAAACCGGAAAAGTCGAAAAATCGAAAAACCTGAAAATACGAAAAATTGAGAAATCGAAATAGCCCAAAACTGAAAAATCCGAAAATCCTAAATGTAGATCAATCGAGAAATCAAAACACCAAGACGCGAAAAATTGTAAAATCGAAAAATCTAAAATTTTAAAATTTTATTTTATTTATTTTATTAAATTTAAACCGAAAAACTGAAAAATCGAAATACATATTGAAAAATACCAAAACTGAAGCATTGAAACCACGAGAAATCGAAAAATTGAAAAATCAAAAAAATCGGGGAATAGAAAATTTAGAAACGCCCAAATTTGAAATACTGGAAATTTTAAAAATCGTAAAAGTAAAGAATTAATAAATTGAAGAATCTAAAAATTGAAAAATCGTGGAGCTGAAATGTCGGAAAGTTGAGAAACCAAGAAACCGGGGAAGTCATGAGAAATCGAACATTTAGACACGCCAAAATTTGAAATATTCAAAAATTTAAACAACGAAAAAGCGAAGAATCGATAAATAGAAGAATCTAACAATTGAAAAATCGTGGAACTGGAAAATTGAGTAACTGAGAAAGTGGAGAAATCGAAAAACCGAAAAATTGGGAAAGTTAAAAAATCGAATAACTGAAAACTCGAAACATTCAAAAATCCCAAATCGAAAACTTAGAAACCCGAAAATTTGAAAATTGAGAAATCAAAAAATTGGAAAAATCAAAATAGCCCAAAATTGAAAAATCCGAGAAAATAATTCTAAATTGAAACCGATCAATTGAAAAATTGAAAAATCAAAACACCAAAATCTGCATAAATCGAGAAATCAAAACACCAAAAAAAACGAAAAATTGTAAAATCTAAGAATCTAAAATTTCAAAAATTACGCCGAAAAACTGATAAATTGAAATACATATCGAAATATCCCAAAACTGAAAAATCCCAAAACCGAATCATCGAAATCATGAGAAATCGAAAAATTGAAAAATCGAAAATTTAGAAACAGCAAATTGTGAAATATTAAAAAATTTAAAAATCGTAAAAGTGAAGAATCGATAAATTGAAGAATCTAAAAATTAAAAAATCGTGTAGCTGAAATGTCGGAAAATTGAGAAACCAAGAAACCGGGAAAGTCGAAAAATCAAAAAACCGAAAAATTGGGAAAAGTCGAAAAATCGACAAATTCAAAAACCGAGAAATCGAGAAGTCAAGAAGTCGAAAAGTCGAAAAACTGAGAAATCGAAATGGCCGAAAATTGAAAAATTTAAAAATAATTCTAAATTCAAACCGATCAACTGAAAAATTGAAAAATCGTAAAATCAAAATCTGGATAAATCGAGAAATCAAGACACAAAAAAATGAAAAACTGTAAAATCGAAGAATCTAAAATTTTAAAAATTGAAAAATTTGGAAAAACCGAAACAGTAGAAAATCAAAAAATCACAAAGTCAAAAAACCGAAAAACTGAAAAATCGAAATATGTACGTATTGACAAATACCAAAACTGAAAAGTCCCAAAACTGAACGAACATTTAGGAATACCAAATTTTGAAATATTGAAAAATCTTAAAATCGAAAAAGTGAAGAGTCGATAAATAGAAAAATCTAAAAATTGAAAAATCGTGGCGCTAGAACATCGGAAAATTGAGAAAGTCGAAAAAACGAAAAACCGAAAAATTGAAAAAGTCAAAATCTGGTTAAATCGAGAAATCAAGAGACCAAAAAACGAAAAATTGAAAAATCGAAGAATCTAAAAATTTTAAAAATTCAACAATTTTGAAAAATCGAAACAGTAGAAAATCAAAAAATAGAAAGTAGAAAATCAAAAAAATTGAAAGTCGAAAAATCGAAAAACTGAAAACTCGAAATACATATTCAAAAATCCCAAATTGAAAACCAAAAGCTTAGAAACCCCAAAATTTGAAGCATTAAAAAATTAAAAAATCGAAAAAGTGAAGAATAGAAAAATTAATGAATCGATAAATTGAAGACTCGAAAAACTGAAAAATCATGGAACTGAGATATCAGAAAATTGAGAATAAAAAAAATGGGAAAATCGAAAAATTGGGAATTTGAAATAGCCCAAAACCGAAAATTTCGAAATTGAAAACATTTAAACTTAAAAACAGCGATCAATCGAAAAATTTGAAAAATCGAAACATCGAAATCTAGAGAGATCAAGAAATCGAAGCATTGAAAAATTGAAAAATTTAAAAACCGAAAAATTGAAAATTCGAAGAATGAAAAATTCTTAAAATCGAAAAATTAAAAAACCGAGAAATCGAAACAGAGAAATCGACACGTTAAAAAAGTGAAAAATACAAAATTTAAAAATTCGAAATATTGGAAAATAGAAAAAACGAAGAAGTGAAAACTCGGAAAAACAAGAAATGAAAATATTTAAAATTTAACAAAATCGAAAAATTGAAAAATCGAAAGTTTGGCGAGTTGAAAAATTGAAAAATCGAAAAATTAAATAAAAAATAGGAAAATTGAAAGACATCGAACCTTAAAATCCCAAAACTAAAACAACGAAGAGTCGAAACAAAAAAATCGATTAATCGTAAAACTGAGAAATCCAAAAATTGGAAAATCAGAAACGCCTTAATTAAAAAAACGAACAATTAAAAAATCGAAATCTTGAAGCGAAAAATTGAAAAATCCTGAAACTGAATTATCGGAAAATTGGTAATCTAAAAATTGGGAAAGTACAAAAAAGGAAAAGTAGAAAAACGGAGAAATCAAAATTGAAACATCGAGAAATCGAAACATCAAAAGGTAGAGAAATCGAGAAATCAAGAAGTCGAAAAATCGAAAAATTGAGAAAATAGCCCAAAATCAAAAAATTGAAAAATCGAAATTTGTATAAATCGAGAAATCGAAAAATTTAAAAACCAAAAAATTAAAAGATCGATAAATCTAAAATTGTAAAACTCGAAAAACTGAAAAAACCGAGAAATTTAAAAGCGAAAAGTCTAAAAACCGATGATCGAGAAATCGAAACATCACAAAAATGAAAAATCCAAAATCAAAAAATTCCAAAAATTAAAAAATGGAAAAACAAAGAAGCGAAAAATCGAGAAATCCAAATATCTAAAATTTGAAAAAATCGAAAAATTGATACTTCGAAAAATTCAAAAATCGGGATTTTTCTAAAATCGAGGAATCTGAAACTTTAAAAATTGAAAAATCAAAAATCGAAGAAAAATCGAGAAATCGGCAAGCGGAAAAATTAAAAAATCGATCAATCGTGAAATTGAGAAATCGGAATACCAAAAATTTAGAAACTCCAAAAATTGAAAAATTTTAAAATCGAAAAGTTAAAAAATCGAAAATGAAAAAATCTAGAAATTGAAAATTCGAAATATCGAGAAATTTAGGAATCAATAAATTGAAAAATCCCCCAAATTGGAATATCGAAAAATCGAAAAGCCAAAAAATCGAAAACTTGTTATTCAAAACGCTACATGTCTAGAATAAAATTTTATAACGGAGTCATATAAACCACAAACTGAGGACTGTTACTTTTTAACATTTAAACGACATTTATTCAACAAAACAGCTCCAGACAAACGGTAATGCAAACCCACCTCCATGTGTAAACCAGATATTTTTATATTCTACAAACTCTACAAACTGTGAAACTTCCACGAAATAAAATTATTCTTGCAAACATTTATTGTGAAAAGTTCTTTTATTCGATGTGATGTTATATTTTAAATCTTTTGTTCTCAAGTTTTAAAATGTTTAAAAACATCTCAACTCCTTATTTTATTTTAGACTGAATTGTAAAAAATTAAAAACTCGATTGTAGAGATCAATAATAAAATCCTCAAATATTCCTCTTTTATTTTAGTGTTCTTAATTACGAAAATTTCAAATTCTGTTCCGTTTAAATTCGCTCTCAAAAAATTCTTTTTTCAACAATTTGCTCACATTTGAATACATCGATCACAGCCAACGCCTCATATCACGCCCCATTCCGCGAAAACCCAACGTCATCACACCCGATAAACCCCTAAAATTCTCACCTTATCGCATTGTTCCTCCAGATACACCACCCGCTCGAACTGCAGAAAAACCTCGTCTTCCTTCTCCCTCAATAAGCTTTCGTTGGATTCCAGTCTTTTGCTGAGCATGTCTCTCTGTTGGATGAGATCATCCCTCTCCGTCTGCATAAAGCAAAAACGTAAGAATAGACCGACCTTGAAATTATTCCCGACTGACTTACCTTGACTTCGTGGTATTTCTCTTCCAAATAATAAGCGATGTTTCTTGCCTCTTCATATTTCTGCGACAGGTGCACGTATTTGTCGTAGTGTTTTTTGAACAGCACAAACCTGGAACAAAACGCTTCCTGAAAACTTTCATTCGTACCGGATGCTTCCTTGTCCATTGAGAATGTCAGGAATTATTGTAAATAATAGGGATGTCGATAAACAATTGGCTTCCGTTGTATGTCATACATGCTTCCGATGGACGCAATGGCGGGTCTACGACATCGATGAAGAGGATTGTGTGGGGTCACATTCGAACCACTTGGAAAAAATCGATTGTGTTCTTTGACACATATACAAATTGATTTCAAGATTTAATTTTCTATCGTTCGTTATCACAATTTTATGCTGAGCAGATTTAAAAATGACTAAAATATTCATAAATAAACTCTGAAAATAAATATTATTAAATATTAATTTTTATTTTTTATTTAGCATTTTCTAGAATTCAGGTATACGACCATTCGGCGAAGCTATAATCCTTCCTAAGTAAGATAAGCCGACATTTAAACCTCATTAACTCGGTAGTAATAATGAAAAGTAATTATTTTGAGTGACCATTCTGTCCCCTTAACAATGCATTCTATACAGGCATTTTATTACATAATTAGAAACTCTTTGAAGCTCATTATATAACATTTTAGTCCAGATAATCTATCTTTATTAGTGTAGTAATTAGCGGGATAAAAAGTAATTAGTTGCCAGGATGTTCTTTGATTATAGTAGAAATTCTAGTTTGTATGACTTTAAACATGTATGATGTCTCAAAGAATAAAGAAAATATTTGCACACTACCAAAATAGCATACGTAGGTTTCTATTAAAAATTTTCGGTGTATTTTGTAAAAAGAAGTTTTTCCAAAAATATTTCAGATTTTATTTATTTTTTTTTATTTTTCGTTACATTTCACTTTATTAAATACAACTGAATATTTAATTTTATCGATAACTTTTGGGTTTAAACATTTATTTCATGAGTAAAAGAGTAGAAAAGATCTGTTTTGAATTAAAAAAAACTAAATAAATTTTAGAGATTTGTCTTATTTTTTACTGTTGACAAATATGTAGTAACAAAATAATAATAACAAACAAAATCAAGTGGATTCATAAACCACATGTACAGAAATGCATTATTTTATAAAATTTAAGTGTCCTTTCCTGCACAAAATGTCGAACTGACGTAATAAAATTGTTGGTGGGGATGATTAGACAAAATCTGGTTAGTGTTTTACCATATACATTTATGGTAAACCACTAACCTATTTGATGATGAAATTTGACAACAATCGGTTCAGTAGTTTCGGAGATTATCTGTCTAATAAAGATGACGACAGAGACGACAGACAACAGACAGACCAGGTAGACAGACAGGCGGAAACGGAAGACCTATTTTTTCGTATTCTAGGATTTATGTAACGACGAAAAAACTGGAAATAAAATAACCAGTCACCTGATGGACACTGTTACAATAGTTCCTTAGATTCTGAGTATTTGGGAACTTTTAAAATTTAAAACAAATTTAAATCTGTTCTAAAGTAAAATAATACAATTTTTTAATTTATCTTTGGCTTGGAACACAATACACAAATTTTCAAAAAAAAAACAGTGGTCAAAAAAACGCAGGTTACAATTTTGTTTAAAAATTAAACTTAAATTCCTTTCGTTTCTCTTTCAAGAGTTTGTAAATAGTATTGAATTGTAATGTAAACCTTTTGAATGTCGCTGAATCTTAAAAACAAATTCTTGTACATACATTTCCAAAAAATTTTAACAACTCTTCAATTCTCGAACTTTTAAACTCTTGAATATATAGACTTCCGGGTTTCTTGATATTTTCGATTTTTAAAATTTAATAATCTCCAGAAACCTAAATTTTAAAAGGACATTGAAGCTCGTGTAAAATACAATTTTTTTTAGTAGAAGTTTTTGAAAAGTGTTAAATATGCATCAAAAACTCCTAAAAATTAAACAATTATAAGGTCATATAAGATGCAAAAATTGCAATGGAAAAGCAGTTCCATCATTTCAGACGAATGGCTACTTTCATGTTTTATGTTAGGTATATCGTGAAGATGATAAAATGCTAACCAAAATTTTATGACATCACCTCAAAATTTTGTATGTTAAATGTTATTTAAGTTTTATAAAGTAAGATACTCATGTACTTGTGGTTTATGAATTTGGCTTGATTTTTTGTAGAGTTCCCAAAGAAGCAGATTTATAAAAAAAAAAAATTAAAGCAGATCTAGAAGAGAAATTATTTTTGCTTATAGGGTAAAAAAAAATTTGCTAGGTGTTCTATATAAATTTTGTCCAGTAAAATCATCCTATGTTTCAAGTTTATTAGTTCGCCTTTATTTTTAACCCTCGACATTTTTTTTCAATCAAATTTGTACAACAAATCTACAATTTAATCCAGAAACAACAAATTCGATTGCTCTGAATTACTCGACTTTTAACTTATAGGATTTATTACAAGAAAAAATAAAATTCGCCCAGATAAATTTTACATTTACGTTATAAAAACTAAATTTATTAGGTTTCAGGTGCGTGGGAAGTTCTATTTACATGGTTCCTGAGAAATTGTATTTTATAATTATTTAGACCTTAGTGTTCGTGTGCTAAATAAAATTGAAAATTTATTGTTTAACTTTTTATTATTGTTTACAAATCTGTAGTAACAAATGATTAGTACAATTTTTAGTTACGACAAAAAAACAATAAAAATAATAATAATAAGGAAAATCAAGGTGGATTCATAAACCACAAGTACAGGAGTGCATTATTTTAGAAAATGTAAGGTTGTAAGGGAGTATTTGTGAAATTTTAAAATTTTGAACAAATTCAAAACAGCTCGAAAGTAAAATAAATAATTTTTTAAATTTATCTTTGGTTTGGCATACACAAATTTTCAAAAAAAAAAAAACAGTAGTTAATGTAAGCGCAGGTTACAATTTTGTTTAAAAATTAAACTTAAATTCCTTTCGTTTCTTTTTCAAGAGTTTGTAAATAGTATTGAATTGTAATGTAAACCTTTTGAATGTCGCTGCTTAAAAACAAATTCTTTTACATACAGCCTGTTATTGAAAGGTAGGTACAAAATAAAATCGGCAATTGGTCTCGAAGTATGGGTGCTAAAAGTTAAAAAAAGTTCAGGTAAAAGTGTTCTCCTTTTAGAGATAAAAATTATTGAAATTTATGTCCAAATTCGTTGTACGCCTCTGATAAAAAGATCATCTTTCGTTTCTATATCAACATTTAGTCTCTACAAAAGTTTTATTGTTACAGTTGCTAGGATTTACTAAAATAAATTAATTTTACCTATTTATCCTTCAGTAGCGTCTAAAAAGGTTGGATAAGGGTTAATTTTCCCCTTACAATTTTGATAACACAAAATAAGTTTTTCCGACTTCTTAGACTTCGCGAAGAACTATCCATTTTGTTGTACGTACCTTTCAATAACACCCTGTATATTTGAAAAAATATTGACAACTTTTCAATTCTCCAATTTTTAAATTTTTGAATATATAGATTTCCCGAATTCTTGATATTTAAATTTTTAAAGTTTAATAATCTCGGGAATCAATAGATTTTAAAAGTTTTAGATGTGAGCTTTAAAGTGTTATTTGACTATACATTGAAAATATTGTCTGATAATAAGGTCACTAAGGACATTGAAGTTCCTGTAAAATATGATAATATTGTTTTTTCTCAGGAAATGTGTAAAAAATCAAGGCGTATTCATAAACCAGTACAGCACTATGTTATTTTATAAAACTTAAATAACATCTACCATGCAAAATTTTGAATGATGCCATTGATTGTTTTTTGAGTACATTTTCATGATATAATACTTAATATTCTATTTTTGACTGAATCATTGTTGAAAATACACGAAAAATCATACTCCTATTATTTATAATTTTTGGACCCTTAACAGCCAGAATGGAAATAATAATAAAATATCGTAGACGTAACGGCGTCCGGACGGGTCCACTTGTGAACCTAGGTTTTCGTGTTTTTCAAAAAAATAGTATTTGTAATATTTATTGATAATAAACAACATAACAACTGTAATTAATTTAAAAACAAATATTAATACAAAAATATTAGACTGAGTTGCTGATTGTTATCTTCTCACATTATTTCCACTCTAGGAATTACATTATTGTTTAACACCTTAGCGATTTGTACAGATAAAATAAATGGTATTATTATTATTCATTACCACATTATATTTTTTTTGGAACGAATGAAACTGTAGAACAATAACCCAACTCAAACAGAAAAAATCCATTTTAATGTTTGTAGATCGAAAACGAGCAAGTTTTAGCCTAACAATTATTTAAGGAATATGCGCCAACAGCATGTTAGTCAGAAAAATATAAATTGATAAAAACAGACATCAAATAATCGAATTAATTATAAATTTATCTCTTAAAAAAACGTCACGGGCAATGGGTCAATTGTTTCCATAACAAATAACCTTTGTTTAACTTAATGATATCCTTACAAAGATCTGTAAAGTCAGACCTATTTTTAAACGTGATAATCGCAATGTAATAAGCAATTATCGTCCCGCATCAATCGCGCCATTATTAATCAAAAGCTCCACTGCGAAACGCTTTGAGGTATGTAAATATCTCCATATAACTCCACATCAGTGCCGGCAATTAATATTGCCGTTGACAAAGCGGTTATTTTTGACCCTTCGAAGAAAATTTACGGCTTACAGTACAAATAGAAACGCCACAAGGTTTAATTAAACACAATTCCTTGTTTGATGTCAAAGATATCGGTATCAGTGACTATTTCCGTCCATCGTGTTCCGCAAAGCTCCGAATTAGGTCTCGCGATTTTCGTGCTATATATAATGATATTTTAATTTAATAAATGTCATTAAGCACGTTAAAGAAATAATGTAAATTAAAGCTGAAGTTAGTTTTTCTTGAGGAAAAACCGGTCAGTGCTAGTTCTTGTCCATTCCAACATAACATTTATTTACAAAATCGAGTAATTATATTATTTGTAAGATAAGTGTTTCCGCAAACTGTAACACTTTCT